GAGACCTCAGCATCAGCAATCCTGTTGGTGGTGATTGTCAGCTTTGCGACTCTTGTGTTGAATTGTTGTCTGCTGGATTTGAGTATCCACCCCCGGAAGACATTACTTCCTTCTTGGTGGTGTCAAGATATGCCGGCGGCGTGGAGGAGCCCACATAGGGACAGAGATAGCCGCAGGGACCACGACAGCGATCGATGTTTATAGACAACCTTGATTTGAGATCTCGGCTTTCTCGGCATCGTCCCTCAAGCGTATTGTTGGTCCGCGGGTTCGGTGGGCAGGCTGGAGGTCGGAAACTCAAGTCCTTCCGAAGGGTCGAACCGGCTGTTCCATGTCTTGTGTCTTTCGTATTGCCCGCTCGGACCCGGATCTGAGGCGACACCTTGCTCGAACACGGTGGGTTGTCATGGAACTCGCTCAGCGAGGACAGTCAATGTGAAAGCGGGCGAAGACGCAATGTCAATGTTAGAGTAGAATTTGGCGATTCTGGTAATCCTTCGCCCAGTACAAACAGGGCGGTTCCCACCGGTCGAGTAGTATAAGGTGCCAAACCCGTGATTAGGTGGATGATATGGCCACATGAATTATCGTCGAGATGGTCTGGCGGATATTGAAACAAGGGTGTGTCTCCTCATTCGCGATAGAGAGGTGAGGGATGTTTCGTACGTACTTGCAGCCTTGTCGCCGGGATGTGGTATTCCAGGTAGGCTTCAAACACCAGCACCGAAAAGTCCATGCGTATCGGCCGCGGAGAGCAACCGTCATCGTCGGGAGGAGGGCAATGAGATGGTGGCAGACATGTAAAAGTTCCTGTTGGACTCCATCGCAGATGTCCTCCGCTGCTGTTTGTGCTCGCCGGCTCTTCTCATCCTCCTGATAGCAGGCACTTGAAGCAAACGAACGTCGTGAAGGATGCAGAATTGAAAGGCCAGACGGCTAGGAATGAGGGTAGGAAAGGTTTCCACGAGTCTGTGCGTTGGGAAGGTGAGGACAGGGCGAGGACAGGAATCGAGAATAGTGTTAGCCGAAGGTCATCTCACATATTGACCATGTCTTTCACTGTGCAAACAATCATAGATCTTTAGCACAGGCTGCAGAGAGAGCCGGACCAGCGTTTGCCGTCTCACCAAGCCATAAAAGTGTTGCTCCATCTGTGACGAGTGAAGGATAAATGAAGGATAAGTGAAGAACGGTTGAAGGACAAGTGATTCACTCACTTGCTTCAACCCTTGAACAAAAAGCCACTCGAACTGGAGTGATTTATATTCAATCCGCAGGACTTGAGCCTACAATTCAGCAGAGAATTCATGTTTCCGACATGGTGTAATGGTCAACATCACGGTCTCTCACACCGTAGCTCCTGGTTCGATTCCTGGTGTCGGAATTCTGGTCTTTTTTAGCCAGAGTCTCAGAGTTGCCCTCGACACCTAGTTGGGTCTATGCCCCTTCTTTTTTCTTGGGTGTATTTCAAAATTCTGCATGAAGGTGTGACTACGCAGTGGAGATGTATGTCGATGGTGGGCAAGACATAATGGGCGAGCGCGGTTCGGTTCGGTGAGACTGTTTTGCGATGCATGGGAGAAGCTCTCGATTGGGGCACATTCTTTGACACGGCACGCAGTACAGGTACCAGTCTAGCTTCTCTGTTAGTGGTATGCGAGAGAAGCAGGCTCGAATGGCTCTGCAAATGATGGACACCATCAGGAAGGAACTCCGACTCAGCTTTGCGAACTAGATCAGGACGTTCTCAAGTTGGCGAGCCCGAAACCATGGCAACGTCAACTCATCCCCGTTCTCCCGCAGCATCCCTGCGCCATATAGACGCACAGCAAGTTCTCCTTTCTTCTGTCAACTTCCACCTTCAAGTTGCAGCCATCAGGCATCCGAGCATGCCTGAGTCGGAGGCTGGGCCATGGCGCAGTTCAGTACAGAGCTAGGGTAGCGACAGAAATCGACGTGACCATCTCTCGGTCAGGCATAACCCGGCGATTGAAACAGGCTGTACAGGTTTTCTGCCAACACATTCAGGGGCTGGGGTTGCATTAGGCGCTGCGAGGTCTCGAAGGTGGTCACCATAGCGTGCGGACGTTGCCCAGAGAGGCTGCCACTCAACACACCACAGTAATGGGCACATCAAAGTGCCTTCTCCCCCAACATTGCCTTTAGCTACGGAGCCTGGAAGCCCCAGCCACTGAGCCGACGTAACGTGTGATTGGTCTGCACACCAGGACCCGTCCACACTTGAGCAGCGTCATCTCAACCCGTCTTTGTTGGGATACTGGAAGTACCATGTGTCTTCCGCGCTTCTTGGATCGAATCCTCAAGGACTGCTTGTAGCCTGATACTGGTGCAGGAGGCAAATACTGTTATCTCCCTCCAACTGGGCTCAGATAGCTGAACCAAGTAGCCTTCGCATTCACAAAAAACAGTCGAGGACTCCGGATGCCGATGGAAAGTAGTGGACCACGGGACCAAAATCAGAAAAGCCACATTGTACAACCCTTACGGAGATGGATTCCCTGAACGACTCCCGTAACAATTGATACACGGCACGGCTCCATGTTCCTGCAAGCCGATCTCTCTTCCGCCACTCATCCAGGCCAAAATGAGATAGAGGCAGCTGCTGGGTCGCTGCGGCTCTTCCAGCCTGCTGGTATGTCTTCAAGGCATGAGCAAGGGGTCTCAGGGGGACAATTGAGCGCTAGTACACCGGTTTGACATGTCACTTGCTACCCAGCAGAAAGGCAACTAACGTCCTATGCTCGTGGCCCTGCTGGGTTGCGAGGTTTTCACCGCTCTTCTTCATCATGGCGGCTGACAGCCAAGGACGTTGCTAGCCACATTCTTATCTTGACCTCTGGCGGCAACGTAATTGAGGTAGCATCGTTGTGAGAAATCAACCATAGACTGGGGGACTGGCGGACTCTGAAGCTCGTGAAAACGAGCTAGGCGCTTAGCCTCCTGCGGCCATGGAGGCGGCCATGGTCATGCGGGGGCGTTCTTCGAAGGACTAACTATCAGGATGATTTCCAGAAGAAGACAAGAGATTTTGTGTGATGGCTCAGAAGACACCTCGCACTGGGAAAGACGTTGTCCCCGCCTGATAGGGCGAATCAGGCCAGGTTTGATTTGACGGTGGGCTGGAGCCATGAAAGAGCCCGTGGAGCAAGCAGCTTTTCCAGCTTGTAAGCCGGCATTTTGGGCTCGACCTCGTAGGCACCCTCTGGTCTTGGACTGGTAAGACGTCGCGTGTAGCGCCCATCCACAAGCACGGAAAGTTCTATCAAGCCACTAAATGTGACTTCAGGTCATAGCTGCAGTAGTGCCGTATGGGGATTATTCTGTTTCAGTTGATAAATGCGCAAGTGCACCGAAATTCATCACACGTCGCCCGCCTAGTGTCCCGGAAGACCGGGTGGTGCGTGCCGTTTAGCCTGAGATAGTGCGTCCGTAATCCTGGGACATCTTGGTCCCTGCAATGTATCGAGCTGTTTACGTGAATTCTGCTAGTATCCACAAGGGAAGAGAATGAAATCGTCATTCCACGCTCTCCTTACTGGTTGGTGCGCGTCTCGAGTATGGTATATGCAGCCATTGCTTGAGGAGGAGGCTTCATCTCTCCACGACAAGCGGCGGCTCCTGAAAAATCTCAGAGGAGAAATGGGTTGCAAGCCTCTCTTGAGTTGGCGAATCGGGTCTGCTGCCGTAAATGTTGATGTTCGAGCCTGAGAATTGCGGGACATTTCACCTTGTAGCATTCTGGAAGGATGTGGCTGTCGCAGAAGCAGAAGCGTGCAGTAGCGTCATCTAAGTCCCTGAGCATCCGAGCTTCGTCTCATTTTCCCTCGTTGATCAGTGGACACGTGGCAGCCTGTTCTTTTATCGCAATGGAGCGGTGTGTATGATTGCGCCAGGAAGGGGGCATCTTAACCTCCCTGATATCTTGTAGACATATCCCTCTCCAAACACATACTAGTCGTATGATGGTGATCAGTGTTGTAGAGCCCGTACTCCCATCCTTCCAGCTCGACGCCCGGGACGCAGAGACTTGCCCCTTTCCAACGATGGCTGAATCCTTCAAGGCGGTCACGGCTCGTTCCGGAGGTGATACAGCGGAAAGCGATCATGACCAAGCGGACACTGAGAGAGGCGTGGAAGATGACGGCACAGATGGATGGTCTCATCGTTTGTAAAAGCGGGACCCAACGTTGGTTGCTTGCGAACTGACCTGCCGCAATAGGATGTTCTAAGAATGACTCGGACGAGCAAAGTGTTGACGGCAACACTCCGCAGGCAGAGCATGGCGACAATGACATTGGAAGTGCCGGAGCACACCACGAAGAGTCGCACTTTCACCCTCGAGCGGGAGATGAAGAACTTGTCACTCAGTGCTTTCCAGCTCGAATGCCAACACCCCCAGTGATGGGGGTACCGCACGATGCAAGCACTCAGGCGTCTCTGTCTTTTGGCCCTCCGGAGAACGAGAGCACAGATACGAATGAACCGAGCGAGACTTTGGAAACCGAATCGAATTCCACAGAGGAGCCACAGCCTCCTTCTGTTCGTGGGAGGAATCTCAAACGCAAGGCATCGAAAGAGTTGCTTGGTCGGCGGTCAAAATGATTGAGCAACTCCATCCCAAGAGTATGGATGGAGAATCTGACCGCTCATCAGTTAGTGTTGTTCTTGCACCATGTTTCGTCATCATTATTGCTTTGGGAAGAGATAATCAGAGAGAAGATTGACTCAGCAGTTGTGGGTTGACGTGCTGAAGCGATCATCAAGCAAGGCGAGATTGCTACCAGCGCCCACCTCAGGCTAAGGATGATACAGGAGCTCATCACAAAATATTTCATAGACAAAAGCATTGCTGACATACTCAATTGAACGCTGGAATTGCTGATGATATGATGTCGCTGGCTGATTTCCCGGATGAGGAACAGGACAGCGAGCAGCTCACATTCGCAGTTAGTTTTGGCAGTGTCGACCCGACAAAGACATCATGATTCGCGCTGCCCTAGAACTGGCCACAAGAATCCCTTCTCTGTTGCAGTTGAAGCCGAGTGGGACTCTGGTTGTTCGTCGTACACAAGGGTATTGACATTTGGATGGTGCGTCGAAGGTTCATCGTGAAATCGGTGCTTCCTAGAGTTCCGAGTGGCAGAGGAGCTACGGTCAGGCTCCGTGTTCACCGGCTTTTCGTCCTTTTCTCTGGCTGCCCTTCTTTCGTTCAGCAAGCGTTGAATCTCCGAGTGACGAAACATCTTGATCTGTTCATTGGTCAGGGTTCTCTTGGTCCCGTCGTCGTAGTAGCCGAGTTCGTCATCATTAATTCCCGTAAGGTGGTCGGGTTCAGTTTGACCTTCGACTTGATGTTGGATCATGGTCAGTTGCGGGATCGGTTGACCCGGGAAATGGGCGGCGTGGAAAGCGGTCAGTTGAGATATCTCCTCCTGCCGCATCATAGTGGACGAGGCCGATGCGTGGGGATGACCGCAGAAGCTGCGATGGGCAGTCCAATGAATACCTTATGCGGTACTTGGGCCATGCAACTGCATAGGCCGATCATGAGAGGATCAAGATGTGGCACAATTGAGAGAACTTGGAATTGTGATCCGAATGACAAAGCGGGCACCGCCAAGAAATCCAGAGGCTAAACCGCTTTGGTGTGATGCTAAATTGTCGTCTTTTCCGATCAGTAAACAGAGCAACTGTTCGCCCAAAAGAAGACAGAACTGATCATCAACCTGCATTAACCCGAGGCCATCCCGATATTGACATGCCATCCCGAGAATTCCTGCTTCGCATCTAATTGGCCTGCTTGCACAACAATCGGGCGCCGCGGCGGTCTCATCAGATCGTGCCGTGAAATGACTTGCGTCCAACCCTGGAATATCGTAGAACACTGACAAATGGCTCTAGATGTGTTACGTAGCGAAGCTTTATCAGGTGAGGAGATTGCTTTGCACGCTGCCGTTGAGGATCTGGCGCTAGCTTCAGTGCAAGAGACATGGTACCCACGCTCAATGGAGGATCAAGCACGAACGCTATATATACTCCAGTCTCTCCCTCGACAGTCGTTCGCTATCCCACAAGTCACAACAGCAACAATTAACAGGAGATTCAGTATCCAATCAATACTCTCTCTTGCTCTGCTTTCAGACTCCTCAGATTCTGCCCCGCTCTTGCAATGGCTGGCGAACTCGTCCTTTTGACTGGAAGTTCAGGTCACGTCGGGTACCGGACACTGATCGAGGCGCTGGCCAAAGGCTACAAAGTCCGAGCCGCGGTTCGATCTGAAAGCAAGATTGCGCAGATCAAAGCTGCCAAACCAACTCAGCCATATCTCGAGCAGCTGACCTTTACCATTGTGCCGAATATAGAGAAAAATGGTGCTTTCGACCAGGCCGTGCAGGGTGTCGACTACATTGTGCACGCTGCCTCTCCTCTGGCAAGACCTACTGATGACGACGAGGCCAACATAATCCAGCCCGCTATCCGGGGCACACTCAGCATTCTCTACTCGGCCTTGAAGCAACCATCCGTGAAGCGGGTAGTCATCACCTCTTCGATTGTCGCAGTGAACCCCGACTCGCCAACGGGGCCTTTCACCGCCGACAACGTCGAGCCCGACCCGCACGGACCATACCATCACGTCTTCGCAGCATATTCTGCCAGCAAGAAGCTCGCTTATAACCGCACCCGAGATTTCATTGCCCGGGAAAAGCCACAATTCACGGTGGTTCACATCATGCCAAGCTTTGTCATCGGGCCAAATGAGCTGGCAACTACACCAGACACCGTTCTGTCTGGTTCAAACGCTATTGCCCTGGGTGTCCTTTTCGGTGCCAAGAACCCCGGCGGATTGCCAGGTGCCACTGTTCACACGGACGATGTCGCTTTTCTGCATATCGCCGCATTAGAGCCCAAGGTGCAGGGCAACAGAAACTTCGGCGCCAACTTCGATGTCAACGGTATCAAATGGGATGAAGCCATCGATATCGTGAAGAAACATTTCCCGACGGAAGTGGAGAAGGGAGTGTTTCCTCTTGGGGGAAGCCAAACGTCGCTGCCTTTTCCATTCGACGCGAGTGAGAGTGAGAAATTCTTTGGTTTCAAGTTCAAGGATTTCGAGACGCAGATTGTGGATATCGCGGGGTATTATGCGAAGGTGGCTGCCGGCAAAGTATGAGTTTGGGTAAGATGGCCTCAGGTTAAAGCTGCAGCATGATCACAAATGAGCATAGAGTGGAAGAGCGCGTGGCTGAATTAAACTACTCCGACACGCTTGTCTTCGTCTCCATCCTCTGTCCCTTTAATTGAGCTTCGAGCCATGGCGTATTCTTCAGTTGTTGCCAAAATGAGAGAGAGGGACCGAATGGAGTGGGAGGAGCCAAAGGCATACGGTGGATCTTTGTCCCCATGAGTGCCATGTCCCATGTTACAGTGCAAGAGTCCAGGGCACCACGCTCCTACTCGTACATTGACGTATACGGAGCCATCATTCCACAGTGTAGCAAAATGACTCCCCTGCCTCGGTGCTGGCTAATTACTGTAGCAGCACCAGACCCTTGATAACCTGTTTAGAGCTCCTTGCTCTTGGGGCGGACGGCCACCGCGGACAACCCATCCGCCTCAATCACTGGTGACGCAGTGTCTCCCTCTGACATCATTCGTTAACAGCTAGATTTGGAGGGACAATCGCAGCATTGAAGCCCACCTGCAAAGATCTGAACGGACTGTGTTGTCAATCTCGCTTATCTGAGGACAGTAGTGACCTTGCTTCCTCGTCTCGTCTCTTCACCTACACTTAACCTCTACTCTCGTCGCAAATGAGTTCCTCCAATTCACAAGGTCCAGCTTCTGAAGTCAAGATGTCGGCAGCCGCGCGAGCAATGCTAGGCAAGGTCCGCAAAATTGTGCCTCCCATGCTGGAGAAGTTTCACAAGGGCCAGCTCGGTCGGGTCGCCGTAATTGGTGGCAGTGCGGACTATACAGGCGCCCCGTACTTCTCGGCCATGGCCTCAGCGCGATTGGGCTGTGATCTATCCTACGTCTTCTGCGAACCGTCCGCTGCACCGACAATCAAGTCCTATTCGCCCAATCTGATGGTGTCACCCATCCTCAGGTCTACGGTGTCGATATCTCAGGCCCAGAAAGAGAAGGAACCTTCAGGAGAAGAGTTGGCGCAGCCGATTCTGGATATGCTGCCCAGGCTGCATGTGCTGGTTATTGGGCCTGGACTGGGAAGAGATATCGTCACTCAGAAGCAAGTGAAAGCTGTGATCAAGGCCGCGAAAGAACATAACCCTCCTATCCCCATGGTCCTGGATGCAGATGCTCTCTGGATTGTTCAGACAGATCCCGATCTCATCAAAGGCCACAAAGAATGCATCCTCACCCCGAACGTGGTTGAGTTTGGTCGCTTGGCGAAGTCCGTTGGCCTCGACCAAAGCGGAGATCCAGAGAAGGCGTGTCTGGAGCTCTCTAAGATCTTGGGCGGCGTCTGCATCATTCAAAAAGGACCTGTCGACTACATCTCTCAGGGTGTCGACACGACCGTATCTGAGTTTGAAGGTGGGTTGAAGCGAGCTGGTGGTCAGGGTGATACCTTGACCGGTTCGCTAGGAACATTGCTTGCATGGCGAGAGGTGTACCATGAGAAATTGTGGGACATTGGCGAGGAGATGAGTCGAGCTGAAACGCTGTTGATCGCGGCGTTCGGTGGAAGCGCAATCACCCGAGAGTGCTCGAGGAGAGCATTCGCCGCGAAACAGAGAAGTCTGCAAGCAAGTGACCTGACTGAGCAAGTCCATGAGTCGTTCCTGACCCTCATCGGCGAGCCAACACCCGGACTGAAGCAGAACCTGTGAAACATCGACAGTCGCTTGGGATTGGTGAAGCTTTGAAATACCTTGGAGCGACGTTGATGAGCGAAGAGAAGTTTGGAATGTACCAACGAGCCGTATTGAATGAGGCAACATGAAGCAACGACACCAGAACGAAACACTCTTCTTGTACGATCATGAGTTCCCCGGTACCCGTGTCCATTACTGCTTGTGGACTTTCGTAATATGTACACTGTCAATGCCACAAAAGAACTAAGCCCTTGAAGAGTCGAAGCCCTCGAAAGGCATATCGTAGACAGAGCCTTTCTGCTTCTGAAATCTCGCTATTCTCTCTTGCTCGATCTTCTTGTGATCCTCTTCATAGTGTTTCGCCAATGCTGCAAGGTCGGCCGTACCATGGCCGGCGGACACGTTCCACGGTGAGCCGAAATTGAACATCCTGTACCGCGCCGATTAGTTACTCTCAGAGAAGAAGCTCATAGCTGGGTATGCGTACTCGGGGTTGCGCAGTGGCGGGCCCGCTGCATTAGTGGGTGTCGCAGCGAACAATTGTCTGTCTGCAGCGGCCTGTTCCATCATTGTTGTATGTAGAGCATCTTTCCTCAGCTGCACTTCCCTCCCAGCATCGTATCGCTGCACGAGTCGGGTTATGGCGTTATCGTTCGGTGAGCTGGCAACCGAATAGACGACGTAGAAGAGCGGTATCGTGGCTAGGGCAAAGTAAAAGCCTTTCTATTCATCCGAGCGTCAGTCACCATTCAGTCCAAAGGCCGTCGCAGGTCCCTGCTCACGCCGAAGCCTTCTTGTCCTGATCCTCCTGCAACGTGGAAGGCGCTTTCCCCAGAATGATGTGCATCTCCGTGGCCGTGTCCAGCTTCGTGTCCTGCGAATCTGCGTGGCGGCTGTCGAATCGATTGTCTCAGGGGTCGACCTGCAGCTCTCGCCCCTTTTGAGACGAACGACATGGTTGTATACGCTGCAACGGCAGATTGCTCGAGAAATGAGCTGCAAGGTACGTTGTGAGGTCCCATCCAATTGACCTGGAGCCAGAGCAGATATGCCAAGAATCCCGGGCCGCGTATTATTCCGAGTGCTCGGTCAGTGACGCCGCTCACTTCAACCTCAGTTTGCTCTCATCGTTAATTCGGGGAGCTTTTCCTTTCCACAAGCTGGACCAATGGAGGTCAGCCACGAGTGTCTACATATATGATGCCCTGCCACTGCACAGTGCTATGCGTCGATGAAAACCAGAGTTCATGCACCTGCAGCTCTGTTGATTATGTGGAGCGCTGCAGCACGATGATCCTCGGCCCCTCGTTGGGCAGCAAGCGTCCGCCAGTCCTCAGCATCGTGGCTATTGATACACATCGTTCCCCAGGTTTCAATTCCTTTCTGACTCAAAATTTATCGAGGGCCGTGTGCAAAAGCTCTTAAGATGGCTGTATTCTGTCCTTGAGTCGCTTTCCGCTTGTTTCTGTATAATTATTGTAACACTACCCTGTTTTTGGATACCTTGTACAACTAGTTAGAAAAGCCGATCCTCGCAGCTTCGCCTGTGACCATCCTGACGCACAATGTCGACAACCGCATATCAAACCAACGCAAAACCTCGGGGCCGCCGTGGGAGCCACGGCGAGTCGTCCGAGAGGCCAGCTCGAAGTAGAGCCTCAAGCTCGGCATCCACAAAGTTATCCAAGACGCTGTCGAGAACTCTAGATGAAGTCTCTATACCTAGAAACAGCCGACCGAGCTCACCGGCAGTTTACCTGTATCGGCAGAGGACTGTTGACCCAAGGATGTCGGACCCGACAGTGACGCCCTCACGGCAGTCTGCAATCTCCCTGAAGTCGGATAGGCACATTCCACCTCCTCTCCAGACAGGCGCAAGCTCAACGCCAGTGTCACCGACCAAGCCCAGAGCATATACTGTCCACGATGTACACCAGTTTGAGGTGCATGAGCGGGGCCGACGTTCTCCCTCCCCTTCAAAGCTCTGGAAGCATGCCACTACGGAAGCTGCAAATAAGATGAAAGAGAGTCCGGCAGTACTGCCTGTGCAGCCGCCTCAATCTTCCCATGGGCTTGGATGGAGGACACTTTCTTCAAGATCGCTCGCTTCGATGCAGCCTACCGTTGCCGAAGAATCGGAAGAGTCCGCTGTGACTCAGGTCGCGTCACCGTCTCCGAAGCAGTCTATCTCCACGCCTGTACCTACAACCATGGCGACAAATTCACCCAGATTGTCCGGTTCGTTTTCACATGAAGAGGATGTTGCTCCATCTCCTAGAACCTCGAAGTCGTCTCTCCAGGATACTGCACCTGCGCGGGGCCCCAGGACATCAGCATCATCCCTACACGAGCCGCTGTTGGGGGCGAACCTACAAGGTCCGGCGGCCCTCGTACAACAAGAAGCCACGACTGCACACCCCGGGACGCCAGGATCATTTGTACACGATGGCGCAGCGGTTCCAGTCGTCCAAATGTCACGATCACCCGTATGCGAGCCTTTGGTGGCGCCCACTCCGCAAGGACCAGTGGCATTTATGCAACCTAGATATCACCAGCACCTCGCGGATTCGGTGGAAGCAGGAGTTCCTGTGACCTCGAGCCCTGCTCCGGCAGCAGAGATGATGGTGCTTCAGGATTTCATACCTCCGGCTCAGTCACCGCTGGCATCTCCTCCGTTGTCGCCCTATATCCATCAGCCAATGGGTAGTCCGCCACCGCAATCGCTGCAGTACGCACACCCTTATCCGTATCACCATCCACAGCATTTCATGGCTAACTTCCCGCCCGCCTTCTATCCGACACCATTCACACCTCCGACCGCGTCTTTTCACTACTCTGGAGAGATTCCACGAGCTGGCTCTGCGGGAGCCGAAGACGAGCGGGCCAAACTCTTGGAGAAAGTCTCCAATGTGCTACCTGACATTGACCGCTTGCTGCATGTGTACCAGGAGAGTCAAGGGCTTTTGTCAGAGAAAGAAAACCTCGTCAAACAAGCTGAAGCACAACATCTCGAAGAAACCGCTAAACTGAGGATTGAGCTAAGCGCGTGCAAAGAAGAATATGAGAAAATTATTGGTGAACAAGCGAGTGAGAATCTGAGATTGAAGGATGAGATTGCCGCGCAAGGGGAGAAGATAAAGCTACTGCAGGACGAGTCTCATGCAGTGATGGACGCTCACGAAGGCCTTACCGACCTTAGAGTCAAATGTGAAAAGTTAACCGAGAAGTGCGAATCCTGCCGAGCTTTCAATGACAAATTGGTAAAGGAAAAGGAGAGCGTGGACGAGGAACTCCAGCAATTGAAAAGGCAGCTTGAGGAGGAAAAAATTCAACATGAACACGACCAAGCTGAGAAGAAGAAGCTAGAGGAACAACTTCATACTGTGAAAGATCAACTTCATGATGAACGGACACGGCATGAACGCGTGCAGTGCGAGTTACGGCAAGCCCACGAGAAGGAGATGGCGACCAGGGAAGAAGAACACGTCAGATCACTACACGAGCACAAAGTCGGCTTGTCAAAAATCCAGCTTGACTTGGCAGGAATGATCACCAAGCACACGCAGCAGAAAAGAGAGCTGGACCTTGCCAGAGCCACCATCGCAGAACACGAGCAATCCTTGACCGAAAAAGCTCAAGAACTCGCCGATACCGGGCGTCTACAACAGGCTCAGTTGGAGCATAGTCGAAAGCATATCGAAGAAAACGCCCAGCGACATAGGCAGGAGATCGCTAAGTTGTCGGAGGAACTATCCCAGTCCACAGCAAAGCATCGGGAAGAAATCAGCAAGATACAAGATGCGAGCAAGAAAGACCTGGAACAAGTACGGAAACTCGCTGCAGGACGCTTGATGGAAACGACAAAAAAGCACCAGCAACGCGAAGCAGAACTTTGCGAGGAATTGGCGACCTTTCGTGCTCGAGTTGAAAGGCTGGAGGGCGATCTTCGAGCGAAGTGTCTGGAGCTGGCAAATGCACGCAAAGACCACGAGAGGCTGCAAGGGAACTACAAGCTGACTGACAAGCATCACGCCCAGCTGGCTGAAACGATGCTTAACCTCAGAAACAAGCAAGCTGAATGGCAACGTGAGACCGAGCGGATGGATCAAATTCTGCAGAAGCTGAGGCAACTTGCTCCGGGCAATACCAATAGTGACGAGTTCTTGTGAGTTTGATCCAGCCCTTTTTCGCGAAGGGTGTTCTCATGCTTTTACAGGTCTATTCCGGGCACGTACCAATGACGACTGGACTCTAACTTGAGTGTTTTCGATACGCCGGCATCGTCTGTAACAGAGACCGCGTAGAGACACTTCCCGTGTCAGCCAGCCCGTGACCTGGCACAAAAGTCACCCTGCCACTTTCGAAAGCACGATTTAGCTGTCAAAAGCCCGACACTGTCATCAGCGTCTCTCTTTAGGGGACTACCGAGTGCTAGGTACGCTCTGTCAGGACTCAGGACAACGAGAACCGCTAGCAGAAGTATGAGATGTACTGGCGAGTCAGGTAGATTGATGTAGAATTGTACATGTTGCCTAGGTAATTAGTTGGAGCACAATCAGCAGACCATTGTCGATCCCAGCGTTTGGCGGCCGTTGATCAGGATGCCTGTCAAAATCACCCGGCAGAGAAACGGCATCTACTGTCAATCTGGAGTTTATTACGTAGCGCCACGGCCATTGGCCCTACTGTGTACCGCACGGCCTGGGAAGGGCACCAAGGGGTGGAAGTCTGCCACGAGTCTGCCCTGGGCTAGATAGCCCAATCGAGTGGTCGGGATACGGTCTTTGCTCAGTGGTACGGTTCTTGTGTTCGTAAGGCTGATTCGGGGAGGGAGGGGGGCTGTGCGATCCCATCGAGTCCCACGTCTGAGCTGCCAGGGCGTGCTGGACCCCTACTGGGTACCTCTTCTGAAGCCCATCGCGGTTACATCATTTCCCCCTAACTAATGTGTACTTTCGAGTACGAGCACTCGCCTAATGCCAAAGTATCCGTACCAAGACATGCTGAATGCATGTTTGGCCCACTCTCAGGAGCGACACTTAGAACATTGGAGTTGTGCACTCACAACGTTGTGTATCATGACCGCAGCGGGAGAAAAGCCAGGGTGGCTCCCTCTTATCGCGCTTTTCGCAGGTGTCTTCGTTCACCGGTTTGAGGGACAGCTGTGGCTTGTCACGCCTTTGAGTGGATTGATATCGTGGGTCCCTGCAAGCACCATGCTCGATTTGGGGGCCACACAGGCCGCTGGCGAATCACTCCCGGGCGCCTGGAGGCTCTAATGCGGGAGCTGAAGTCAATCCAGCCAACGGCCAAAGAACCCCCCGCGCGGCTGTGCTGGGTCCCTGGGGTCCCTGGACCACGGATTGCCTCCACTCGTGGAGCTGCGCACGGCTAGCTGCAACTGACTTCCGACTCGTGCTCCGCGCGCGACAAGAAACTCCTCCACCAACACCACCACCACCATCACCACTCTTTCTCCGCCATCCTCACGCCCCGTGTCCTGGCCTCGCGCCCCTTCATCCTCCCGGTCGCGCGTTCGAGCAAACACCCTCCCTCGCAGCTTCGCCAGCCGACCTCCGATAGCCAGAGCATTTGGCCTGTCTCGGGTGCTCGGGCAGAAAGCGCAGCCGTCCCTCGGCTTGGCCATATTGTGAACTGTCCACCTCAACAAACGTTGGAATCTGCCCCTCGATCTGCCCTTGAGCTGCGCTATACCACATTCTCAGCCCCGGCGCTACTGTTGAAATCCTCTGGTAGCCTCCAACCGTGAGGCGCCGTTGACCCGACCAGTCACAATTGCGCAGTGCCTATACCATTGACATCAGAAGACACAACGAGCTGGCTCGGATATCCTTCGCTTTCTTCCAGAGCATTTCTCCCTTCCCTCTAGCGCCCTACCATCCCGACACTTTCCTTCTATTCATATCCTCCAGTAGTCTTGGTCCGTTAACAAGGCAAAGACTCGATCCAAAGTACTCGAAAGGTCGACCACCAGGCGCAGTCAGCAGCGAGTCACAACCCACTTACACAAGGAATCCTCGATCTTGAAATCCTGGGTGTTGCCGTGTCTTGTGGTCTGCTGTGTGACAAGAGATCTTTCGGCTATACCCCGACACACTTCACAGCCTCGGAGGGGGCGGTTCATGCGCCTGCCATGCCTCCGACGTCTTAATCGCCTGGCCCCTATCAGATCGTCTGCATTCAGTCGAGCATAACGGCGGAACCCATTTGTTCTACTCCTGCGCTCCAATCTCAGCAGAAGATGTCGCACTCCTACCCAGGTCCCCACGTCGCTCCACGACCGGCACAGCAATCTCCGACTCTGAGATCAAGGTGCGACCCATTGCTACAACCATCGTCCCAGCATCCCAGCATCCTAAAACCCTCTATGTCCAGGACGCTGCCATACAATGCGAATATAACGTCGAATCCTTCACAAGCAACCCAGCAGACGGAAGACGAACCCGATTTCTGGCTGGGCAACCCCAGGTACAATACCCCGGCTGTCGCGAGCCCTGGGTCTATGCACCCTACAGCTGATGTTTACGGCGTCGACGAAGACACTTCACACCACGATTCCTCCTTTGACGATTTTCTGACGACAGAAGCTTCCTCCGAAAACCCTTTGAGCGAGCACACCACTCCACAAGAACTTATCTGGGAGCAACAGTTCATCTCGCGTGATTCGTTGCAGCCTCACATAGTCAATTCCTACGGCTCACATGAGTTTGACGTCGCGCAAGCAACCACAGCGAGTTCAGAGCTGCAGCGTATCTTTCAGCATAGTGAAGAGACACTGCCGAAATTCATTTCGGGGCAGGAGCTGTTGAGCTCGAAGAGTTCGATGGCCGGGTCTCCACGGTCGCAGGCGGCGCACAGTCATACTGTTCGTCTCGAAGAGCCCGGCGCAATGGACCTGCTGTCGGCCCATCACAAAAGGACTGTCTCCCAAAACCTGAAAGTGGACACTACTCCAAACCAGACTCCATCTCCTGGTCACAAGGTAGGCGCCTGGCAGCAGGCGTCGAATATGCGGGCGCCCAGTCCAGTTGTCACCGTCTCCGACTATGAAACCTCCTACCTCCAGTCCGCAACGACTGTGACCCATATCCCGACTTCTGCTAAGCGAAGTCGTCGAAGCGACTCCTCCTCCGATGATGGTGATGAAGACGGGCCAGGAGTCCCTGCCCCTAGAAATGTCGATGGCATTACGTCCTATCTCATGCCCCCAGATGCGAGCGGCGCTGACACTTTACGCATTGGGTCGTCACCCCGTGTTGGCGTGGAACCACATTCCAGAGATGACGAAGTGGTCGATTCATTTAAAGACATTGAAGACAAGCGCCAGCTTGAGGAGCGGAACGATCATGTCGAAGAATGGCTAGCCACAAGCGATGCTGGCAGTGAGGCAGGAGATCAAGGCCCTCCGAACACCTCACGCAGAACGCCTCAAGCGTCAAGGCGACGCGCGCACACTGTTGATACGCATACTGATGCACTTGGCCCTGTCTACTCGGACGCGCATATCCCTGGCCCCGGAGCACTTGTCGACGTGGAGACCGATGATGAATATTTTGACGACTCTGAAATCGAAGTGCACACTGAGCTGGTAGTCCAGGACTATCACGAGTCTGGCTCGCCACAGATCTCACCACGCGCTCTTGACAGCCGTGAAGATCCCGACGAAACTCCTTTTCCGGCTTTGGAACTCGATGCGCAACCGGACCCAGAGGAACCACATCCTAGCCAGTTCATCAGACGAGGCCCTTGGCAAGACCCTGATTCAGGCCCCATTGTTACTACGAAGCATCAGCCAAACACGTCCAACGCGGCTGCCTACAAGTTCAACCAAGAGGCTGCAAAGTGGGAAACTTCTTCGAGAGCAGCGACTTGGGGAACACGCCGTCGTCTTAGCGAGAGCGAGGTCAACTCGATCGTGGACGGCAGCCAAGTACGGCACCTCTCCTTGTCGAAGCGAGGTCGTGAACGAACGAGCAGTATTTTAAGCAAGGCTCGCGGCATCTTCCCCCGACGAAGTAGTAGCAACATCAAAGAGGAGCCGTCAGCAGATACGAAGGAGCCCGTTGTGCCAGGACATGCACATCGCAGCTCAGTCGGAAGCATAAAACCTGCGCAAAGGGTGCCGAGCTGGGGAAAACCCAAGTCACCATCGATCAGCACCGGCGGCGCCTTTCTCGCGATGACGGGCCAGCTGGCGGCGGTCGGACGTGGTAACTCAGTAGCTCAAGAAGTCGATGCTGCAAAGTCTTCACGACCACTACAGGCACTGAAGAAGCAGAGGAGTAAGAGCGATGTGGGCAAGAATGCGAAGAGTCCTGGCGGACTGGCGGATCTATTAACGAGGCACGGCGGGCCCCCTGTCCCCACGCTGGCGTCTCCTATGCATGAGCGTGAACCTATCCTGGCTGCTCAAATCATCGACAACGAAGAAGCCCCTGCGGATGAGGACGAGGACGAAACAGACGAGTTTGCAATGAAGATGGATCTGGCGGTCCGGGCTGAGAATATCCTCCCGACAATCGAAGGCTTCCGAGATCATGCACGCAAACTCAATCCCAGGCTTGCGCCGTATCTACTTGATCGCGTGGCACAAGAGCAAATCCGACGCTACAAGAAGCTGGTTGAAACCAAGATCAGGCATACCCGCTCCGTACAAGTGGCCAAGAAGTGCTCCTCGGGCAAGTTCTGCTTTGACCTGGGTGGCGAGGCGAGGTTGCTGGCGCCTCGCGTCAGCTCTAAGGATCCGGACACGACGATGACACAGTTCCAGGTCAGCAATCCGGCGGACGAAGAAGTGGATGAGGCTGGATTCACCGACGGGATTGTCACCCCGGCTTTGTTTCCTTCAGGCATCCCACTGCCACCAGTCCAACGCCTGCCCGCGGAATTTGAGTGCAATATCTGCTTCAAGGTGAAGAAGTTCCAAAAGCCGTCAGACTGGACGAAACATGTGCACGAGGACATCCAACCATTCTCTTGCACCTTCCCGAACTGCTCAGAGTCCAAGTCGTTCAAGCGGAAGGCAGACTGGGTCCGTCATGAAAACGAGCGGCATCGACATCTGGAGTGGTGGAAGTGCTCTGTTCAGGAGTGTAATCACATCTGTTACCGCAAAGACAATTTTGTCCAGCATCTAGTGAGGGAGCACAAGATGACAGAACCCAAGATGAAGCGTGGTTCTGGCAGCAGCAAAATGAAGCCGGTCAACAATGGCTTTGCAGAGGACAGTGAGGTGTGGCGACTAGTTGAAGACTGCCGCTCCGAGACAGATAAGAAGCCCCATGACGAGCCCTGTCCCTTCTGTGGGAATATCTGCTCGACGTTTAAAAAGCTTGCGGTGCACATGGGCAAGCACATGGAACAGATCGCGATGCCAGTGTTGCAGTTGGTGAACATGAGGGAAGTTTCGCCTGACACCATTATCAGTCCAATTGAGCAGCCACACGTGGTGCCGTCTTCTTTTGCGACCAACCTTGGTTCGGTGCACACCGCCGACCGAAGCAATCTATCGCCCTATCCGACGAGCGCCACCTCGGCCTACCAGCCGTCGTCAGCCGGGCAGTCACCTTCGTCAATGCATGGTCGCCTTCACAATGGAGACTATTATTTCGATCAGCCATACTACAGCCCGCATGCGATGACTCCGGCAACGCAAGGGCCGATGATGGGCAATGGCTTTGGTGGCACAGCCAACTATATCCATCAGTCTCCCCCTTTTATGCCATCTCCGCAGACGATGCCACAGCACGATCACAATCTGTCGCTCCAAGGAACGATGGTGACGCCACGGTCGCAACCGACGACTCAAGGATACGAAAGCTCCTTCTACAAGGCAGGTGGAGGTGTATATTCCAAAGCACCGATACCACAGACATATCCCAGCGCACATGCTCACTCGCACTCGATGCCAATGTACAGTGTGGGCCAATACGGACAATCTACGATATTGAGTCATGCTCAGGGAGCCAGCTCGGGTCCGATGAACGCGGATGTTCAGACAGGACTGGGCTTGCAGACGCCCCTGAGCCAGCATCAACAGCAGCAATACATGTACGACGCCCAAGGCAGTGGGCTTACCGAGGCCAAGATGCACTTCGCATAATAGATTGCTTGCAAGGACCGATTTACTTTTGGAAGGATTTCAGAGTGAGGCAAGATGGAGGGAAATGGGGCATATCGCTCGCATGCTGGCTCTCCTGGGCATTTTACGAAGTATTGGATTGTTTTGCGAAGATGCTCATGAGCTTGATACGTGACATCCACGATGTATTCCAGATACCCATGTGATGAACATTCCCCTACTAGGGTCTACTCCGATCGAAATCGGGAAGCGACCGCAGGGGACACAATAATACGACGATGATGATAGCGTGTCTAAGCAACATTGCAAGCTGTGATGTTTCCCACAACTTGTGAGCTTCCCGGGACGGATGCAACGGCCCAATTGGTGCTAGGCCGTGTCTTACGCGGCCAAGCTCAGAAGTTTTGACGAAAGACGTGGAGTTTCAAAGTAGCGAACGTAGCGAAAGTTCGCTGCAGCCGTGGTGACCAAGGCTCTCAGGCCTCAGCCACCACCATGTGCAGGGCAGTGCGGATAGTGCAGCAGCTGTCGGTGCTGCGGGTATTGGTGTATGCAATGTTGTGCTCTTGTTTCTCGAGCAGAGGTTGGTGGCAGCAAAGATCGGGTGATGCGACAAACTACTGTTCACGGGACCATGTCGCTGTCGACCTGGTATGTACCGAGTATTATTGTACGGAGTACTGTAACAGAACACCTTTCCAGGCAGAAAGGCGGCGGCTAACCGCCAACGGCTAAGGCGAGGCATTCTTGCACCAACTTACGGATGCTTATTGGTGCGAACCACGGGCTTCAAGGCAGTTTCGGGGCAGCTCTGTCAGACCGGTGTCCTGGGCGGTAGTTTTGCAGAGCCCCTCCCCCCGAAAGTGCCCAAAAGGTGGCTAGGATACGCCCAATGGGCCCCAGAAGCCGATTGACAATGCCCGAGCCAACGCCTAAGCCTAAGCAAAAACGCCCGCCAAAAACAACCACTTGCACGCTAGCCGTCACCATTCGTCATCGTTCGCGTACCTTATTGATGGCAGACGGTTGCCTTGTCACCGGTTTCGGTTCACACTTCATTCACTCTTCACTCACATACAGTGCCACTTTCCGCATTTTTGAACAATTACACTTTCATCCTGTCTGTCGACTTCGAGCACGGCATGACTCCTCTGCGGGTTCCGCTATTTCGCTCGACAGCGGGAGCCGGGTTCCGTGGTCATTCTGCCTCTTAAACTCGACCGTGCGTCCTGCCCTCGTTGCACCGCCCCATCGTCTTCCGAGTCTACCAAACTCTCGATTGCACATCGGTTTTATTCCTCCATCACATCTTTGCGCGCCATCGTATCCTTCGATCTCGTATGTCATATACCAGTCAACGGCCGTCCGCCTTGGTGCATGTCATCCGCCTCATTTGCTCATCAGGCAACAGAAGGCTGTACGGTACCTGGGACGCCCGGAGTCGATTCTGATTGGCCGAGGCGCATTACTTCGACAGCACCAAATGCTATGGGCGTCCTGCAAGTCTGATAGAAACAAGGCTGTGTACTCGAATACCCTCGAAGCGTTTTGACCCCGGCAAGACTGTTCATCCCTCCCGCTTTGTGCCCTTTCGAGGATACAACCCGGCCATACGGTTAGGAGCTGGATCGCATCTTGACCAAAAGGTATGCTAGAAACATCATGGCTGTGCCTCACTCTAAACCTACGGCCATGGTCTCCTCTACATCTTGATCCTTACCGCTAATGCATTCACAGTATAAGACCTTCCGGAGAGGAGCTAAGTCATCATGGCCAATCGACCAGCTCGTCAGTCGGTCTCTCACCACCCAAGGGTGACTGGTGCAAATGTATATTCAACACTGCCACTCCCCCGTCCTTGGGTGTACAGTCTCTAACCCCAATTCACCAGGCCTCTATCCCTCTAGAAGAAGAAGGCAGTGCATCTGCATCCGACTTCCATTCAGCCTTATCATCAGACCCAGACTTGAGAGGCATCCAGGCCCATTTCCCAGGCATGATTCCCACCGTTGGCCAAACTCCACGGAACTCCATCTCTTCTTCTAACGAGCATTTCCTGGACCTTGCTGCCTTCGAGAACTATTCCTTTGATCTCCCCGAAGGCGAACCCCAATATACTCTTGCTTCTTCTGCTTCTGTTGTCAACCCTCGCCATCTGGACTCGTCTGCAGTTGACACCGGCGGTGTACCCAGTCACCGAACCGGCCCGGACCCCTGGACACACGTGGATGCCACAGTAGGGCCTAAAACTGGACTGCCTGATACTATGAATTCGAATCAACATGGGCTGCCTTCAGGACACCTGAGAACTCCAACGCATGCTCTTCGTCCGTCCTCTGTCGGTGGACGTATGACCTTTGAAGACTCGGCTTATGCCACTGCATCCAGGAAATCGCAGCACGCCAGTGAAGCTGGATCCATAAGTGAGCATGGCTCTGATATCATGGAACAACGGAACACGAACTCCACGCCTACGCCTACGCCATATTCTGCTCCTCTGCCTGGCCCTACGTCGTCGCACTCGTCCACAGCCACGCTCATTCCGTCAAATGGCAACCTTCAACCTTCGCAGCCCGGACGGTCTCCAACTCGTCGGCCACCAAGAAAACAGACAGAGCTTGAATGCCCGGACTGCGACTACGCGGCAAAGACGCCGTCAGACCTGAAGTGAGTGTCGGCAGGTTTAAAGGGTATGCTCTCGACTAACAAAAAACAGGAAACACTCGGCCCGCCATAAACGCGAGTACAAGTGCACAGTTCGAGCCTGCCCGCAGAGCGAGAAGGGTTTCGCCACGGTGAATGACCGGGACAGACACATGAAAGCGGTTCACCGCATCAGCAACCGGCCCAGTAAATCGTACAAATGCTTTGCTGAGGGCTGCAACAGGGGAGACAAAGAGTGGCCTCGCCTCGACAACTTCAAACAGCATCTCAGAAAAATGCATGAGGAGCAACCGTTGGATGATCTGCTTCAGGCGTGAGTTTTCCCTTTCGAACAATTGACCTTGCCTACTAAACCGTCTCAAGGTCCAACAAGTGGTGGGAAGGGCAAGAAGCCCAGCAGCAAGCGGAGGCGGACGCAGCCTCGCATGCCAGGCCACACAATCTTTTTGCCTCAAGCTCTGCTATGTCTGTCTCGGAGCAGTTCGAGGCATATCAGCGCAACTACTCGGACTCCAATCCATCGTACATGTCACTGTCATCTGGAGGCAGTGATATGCTGCGCTCCGTCAGTCACGGCAACCCAGCTCACCCAGCGGACCCTGCTTCGGTTTTGGATCCTCGTCTTAGGCGGACTCAACAGTTCCAACGGCGAAGTCTTTCCGGCCCATTGGGCGCGGGAAACCCTCAGCGCCATTTAGCAGTTCCATTGCTCAACACTAGTCTCGCCCCTCCTCAACTCCACACACAGAAGACGAGATCGCATGCGGACTACTCTGCATATCAGGATCCATCGCAAGTCTCGACCATTTTCACAAACCCGACAGTCAACTACCTCTTCAGTTCTGGCCCGTCCCTAGACCCTTCCCCCTTCGCAGCGCGAGCCGGTTATTCCGTCCCAGGGGGTTTCGTGAATGAGCAGCCTCGCAGGGTGAAGAAGGCCCGCACAGTCGCTGGTCCCGACATCAAATTGTACCGGATGGCAGATTTTGGTTCTCCGCAAAAAGTCCAACCCGTCCCAGAGGATGATAGGGCAAGCCAAGATGCTTATTTGGGATATGTGGGAAGCAATCCAGCTGCTGATAATGTACCGACCCCCTCGCCCCATCAAGCCAGCGTTGCGCAAGCCTTGGAGGACTCCCCAAAGTCGAAGCTCCACAAGCGCCTAGAGGATGACATCAATTCTTTTTTGGTCCAGCACAACTCCAAGGCAGGCAACCAACCGCTATCCGAAGAAGAGTTGTATAAGAGTTTTCGGCTTTCACTGGGAAGCAGCGACACCTTGACCAGTTGCGATGCTTCGCATGTCGGTCCGCTACCGGGACCTGCTGACGTCAAGCAAAGCCCTACGAAATATTGCCCTGCAACGAGGGAGACTTACTTCGTTTGTCCCGTCTGCAAGAAGCCCAAGAAGAGACAAAGTGAGCTCAACAAGCACATGAACCGCCATTCGAAGCCCTACGGATGCGTATTCGACGGGTGCCATAAGACCTTTGGCAGTAAGAATGACTGGAAGAGGCATGAACAAACACAGCACGAGCAGCAGGAGTGCTGGCGTTGCCACCTGTGCTTTGAAGTCTTCTTTCGTGACGAAAGCTACTACATCACGCACATGAGCAACGTCCACTCAACTCACCGTCCCGAAGAGAGTGCTAGACAACATCGTATCGCCCGAAACTACCAGGGACGGTTCTGGTGCGGATTTTGTCGTGAGATCATTAAGCACATGAAGACAGATATGGAAGCTATCAACTTTAGATTCGACCACATTGCCAATCATTTCACCAAGGACAAGATGTTGAGCAAGGACTGGGTCGAGCTGAGTGGCAAGGGGAAGACTAAGCAGCAAGATCGAGATCAACAAAGTAAGACTGCCACCGAGGGTGGAGAAGACTTCGCGGGCATGTCTCAAGATACATCGATGAGCACGCCGACGCCGACGCCGACGTCGCCGCACAACGACTCCAGTCCGATGCAACGCGATTTCTCACACCAATCTTCGAGTTCTGAAGGACTCCCGAGCTCCACTACAATCATGCAAGACCTGCACTCCATGATGGGGCTTCAGATTCATACGGGGCCGCTGCAACGGCAATCCCACCCTGCTCCCGAGCACGCTGGGCCTCAACCGCGACGAGACGTTCAACAACGCCGCACTAAGTATGTGTACTGCTGTCATTGCGGCGAGATAACGAACTCCAGTCTCTCAGACTCGTGCATGCCTCCTTGCAATCATCGTTTCTGCCTGGCCTGCCGTCACGAGGAGCACATGGACGACGAGCCATGATCGATTCGTCTATACTGCGGTATGTGTCTTGCTCATGTTGGAACTGCAGTTCTGGTCTGTTGATTTCGGAAGGTTGACATCGTGAATATACCTTAGTTGTTTGGAGCATGGGGTTCATGTTGTTTGAAGAGCATGTCGGGATTTGTTGCCCTGTCGTACGATGGAATGTCCTTACGCTTATTTGATGAGAGAGGTGGATTGTACTCAGGGCGTCAAGGGTGTCTTTAGATCGCCGTGTCTGTGGGCGAGTTGGGTTTTCTTTTGTCGCCAGCGTCCACTCCGTTGGCGACTCGGACGACATTCGAGCCCCAGACTTGCTTTGCTGTTTTGTGTCAGGTTCAGGGTCAGTGCCAGTCCAATTGGACTAAGACGCTTTGTGTCTGGGATGTCGGATGGTCCGTTCTTCTTGGTAGATACCCTCCCCAGCGCATCATTAGTGACGAGATATGCTTTCAATAGACCTTTTGTTCAGATGAACGGGGATTGACGACTACGCATTATATTTATTCTTTTTAACGCACCCCGATCTGCAGAGATGCGAGTCCAGTTGATTGCCCCTGGAAAACCGGATCACCCACCTGCCAGTTGCTCGCACGACATTGATATTTCTCCTGAACCATGAACCGTGAACCATGAACCGTGAACCATGAACCGTGAACCATGAACCGTGAACCATGAACCGTGAACCATGAACCATGACATGACGTGAGACTATATTCATGCGCTATATAGACTAGCGTCCCACGATATCGACCGGTGTGATTCGAGCCCCGTTAGAGACCCATCCACACGGTCTTCTGGATACACTCGACCCCAGGCTTCCGCCTGCTCTGCTTGATCAAGCCCAAATAGCGCAACTCGGCCAAGGCGCGGTAGAACAGGGCGAGGACTTGTCTTTCGGTTCGAGCTTTGGCCCCAGCTCCAGCTCCAGCTCCAGTGCCGTCCTCATCTTCTTCTTCTTCTTCTTCATCTTCATCTTCCACACTGCGACTTTCGTCCCCATGACGCGTTGACGAAAGCGTGTCGCGGAACGCGTCCCATAGATCGCGGACGTTGATCACCGCGCCCGCTTCGTTCAGCATTTGTACCAGGACACTCGTTGGCGGGAGGGTCGCTGTAGTTGTGGTGGCGGCGTCTGCACTACCACCACCAGCGCAGCACGAACAGCCCAAGTAGTCGGCCGGGCGGGCCAAGGCGCGCTCGATGCAGTGGCGCGGACGCGGGTGGACGATCTGCGAGAGCGGCGATCTGTGGGCCATGGTGTACGCTTCGGCGAGGAATTGGCGGAAGGGGCTGACGCCCGGTTGGAGCGGTGATGATGACGGTGGTGATGAACAGGACGGGGAAATGGATGTTCGGTGGTGGAGGTAGGCGCGCAGAAATGCGGCGGCCGCGGCAGCTTCTTGGTCGACGGGGCTTCCGGTTTCTGAGAGATAGTTCTGCAGGTCGTTGAGTTGGGTTGTCTTTGTCTTTTCTTTTGGCTCCGGCTCCGGCTCCGGCTCTGCCTCGCCATCGAGCATCTCGCTCAGTGACGTTATGCCTCGGACTTTCAGCGCGTCTTCGATGGCTTTGAACGTGTCTGACCTGGTCAGATCCGGTAGTGACGCCAGGAGGTCCGATTCAGTCTCCCATGGCGTGTTCTTGTCAGTGCGGATATGAAGCTTGGAGTGATATAGGTGTCTTAGAGTTCGGATGGCGCCGAGACACGAGGACATGTACTCTTGGCCGGCTTGGATGGCGGCCTTTGCTTCCGTCCAGAGGGACTCATTGGAGGCTAGTAATTGGCGGGCCCTATGTCTCTGAGCTCTATCGCCCTGCGCAAGGGCCTCGCATCGATCCTTGAAAGTTGGAAGATTGCGGATTGCGTCGCATAGTGTCGGATCCCATTGGACGTGGGTTTTGAATTGCGCGGTCAGGGTGGCTAGAGGGTTGGCAAAGAAGTGCGACATGTAGGCGTACTTCAACGCGCGGACAAGATTGTCCGGGGTAGTGCTCTGGGCTCCTGCTAGTTCAGCCAAGACGTTGACGATCGACGAGCCGAGGAAAATGTGAGTCGCGGTGTCATGTTGGAGCGTCTCGTACATGTTGAACAGAGTGCTCTCTGCTCCTCCTGATGGCTTGGTTTCGACGAAGTGAGCGTCGAGTAGATTGATTGTTGCTCTCGAGAAGCGAGACTCAAAGAGCTCGGTCGTGGTAGAAATACCGATGAAAAGCATAAAGGGGATCCTGTCGGACCACGAGTGGAAGGTCGACACGAGCTCGGACAGGACAGTCGTGTCAAATGTCTCAACGTCTGTGACAGAAACGAGAACCCGCTCGACATTTTCCTGTTGTACATAACGGTGGAGCAGTTCGAGATCGAAGTTCATCGGGATTAATGCCTTGTTCTCCGCTAGGAAGTCGGCGTAAGCTTCCTCGCCTCGGCGTCCAGCGATTGATGCCTTGATGATGGTCTTCAGGGCAGTCTGCAGATTTGAGCAATGTGTGGGTTGAAGGGACACCAAGATATCGTTCTTGTCCGAGGTCTCTTGCATCCTTCTTTCTAAGGTTTGGTGAAACTCATGTTGTGTCGTTGCGGATGCTACCAGTAAATGAGTAGGTAGACTTTCCTGGCCCGATTGAGATGCTGTTTCCCCTCGACCTCGATAATTTAGTACATCTTCGACGAGTTCTTCGTCGACCGTGTGCCCCGTCTTGTCGAGCTTCGCTTGCTGTGTAGCCCATGTTGACTCAAACAATGACTTGCGCAGCTTTACCGACTCTTGCGACTCCAGTCCGCCAAGAAGGAGTGGCCAAGGGGCATCTTCTTCCAAAGTCTTGGACGTTGGCTTGACTAGCCTGCGCCTTTTGGGCGTTCGAGGATTGATGTCTCCATCTTCTTGTGTTGTAGGTTTGAAGATATAGCAGGCCTGAGGTCTTTTAGCCGATGTCAGAGAGCATGAGATCCAGGACTTACAGCGTGAGCGTTGTCATCCATCCTAGGTTCGCCCGGCTACGGCATCCTGCTGCCACAGCTGTCGCCGCCGTCGTCGTGGTGTTTGTGGGAAACGTACGGAGTACAGAGACGCGTGACGCGTCGAACCGCAAACGCGGACGGAGTATCTGCTGTACCGTACTTGAGCCGCAAACTAACTACGGCAGGGCACTATTTCACTATCGCGTCAGAGCTGAGGAGGCTCGGAGGCTTGTTTGGGAGCCTCATGAACCGCCCGACCTCTCGACCTGCTGTGTCGCTCGAGACATGCAGACCCCTCGACTTCCTTGTTCCCTGGAAACGCTTGCTCGGAGTCTCTATGGTGGCAATACAGACGACCTGCTGTCATGTCCCCTGGCAGAGATTGAAGACACGGGCGACCGAGGCTATGCCTTGAGATTGTCGTGCACTCCGCTCTTGAACGACGTGCACGACCACACGAGACACTTTAATAAGCTTGATCAAGATCTTTCGCTTCTTCTACCACGTCGCCGTAGCGCTTTTGACGGGCTGCCGGTAACGGGCGAAGCTCTCATTCAGAAGTTATGTTCCAAGGTAAAGAGTTTACTGTCGAGACTGCCTGAAGTTCCTCAACGTAGCTTCTACCTGCCTCTCAACAGCGGATCCGCGCGGAAAGGAGGCTCAACACTTTGGGATGGCATCAAGGACGGTAGCTGGGCCGCAAAATACATCCTGCCTGAGGCGCGTTCGCAACTGCAAGAACAACCAGGAGAGGATGCCGCTGCGATGCTTGATCTGATGAATCGAATGCGCGACCTCGCATGGGACAACCTATATGTCACGAGATATTTCGACACAAATTCCTTGACTCTGGCGGTTGTCCTCGCTGGACAAGGCACCAAGCCGGATCTCGGCCTCGCACAAAGGTCCTTGAATTACGTGAATCTACTCTCGGAGTTGTTCGACGAGTACGAGACCATGAGTAATGCTGTGTCCATGGGCATCGAAGCTCCCTTCGAAGATATGTCGGACCAAGGTCGAGCCTTGAAGGACGCATTATTTACCCAGGAGCATGACGACCATGTACAGGCCATGGCAATCATCAAGGTCTTCCTCTGGTCGGCTTGGCAGCGCTCACTGATGCTCCACTTCTACTACGTGATTGGAGTCCAGCTAGCTCATGGCTATTCTTCTACCTGGAACGCCCTACTGGCGGTGCGCGGTGTCTTTGAGTTAAACTCCCTCTCCAGGGGGGATTCCCGGGAGAATTGCACCGAGTATATGTGCAATTGGGCTTTCGGGCTGTTGAAGACTAGTCGAACATCTGTTGGACTCGACTTCCGTCGCATGATCTCAAGGTTTGACGCTCATTTCCACGGCCGGTCTGCAAGGTGCATCCATGGTTCAGAGGACGCGTGTGAAGGCGGTCGTCCAGAGACGTGTCAGCGGTTCACGGCTGCAGAAACCGCAGCCCAGTCGACCCACGTATTAAGCTGCAATAAGGACTGTGTCAAGATTGTCTGGAGCGCTTCATCCTACCATGGTTGCTTGAAGCCGGCTGCAATTGTCGCCACCGAAGAGTCGCCGCATCTGGAGTACTCGCCTGTCTCTTCCAAGACGCTTGCCATCTCCCACGTCTGGAGCCACGGGCAAGGCGGTCGGCCAGAATCTGGGATCAATGCCTGTCTTCATCGGCGATATTGCCGCCTGGCCAATGAATTCGGATGTGACACATACTGGATTGATGCTGCCGCTATCCCGAGTGAAACGAACCTTCGGCGACAGGCTATTAACAGCATAAGCCGCATTTTCGCGACTGCAAAAGTGACAGTAGTGGTTGACATGGACGTTCAATCCATTGATGTGGATCTCCCAGAACCCAACATTGACCAAATTGAGACGCTTGTATCGACTTTGCTGGTGAGTGACTGGACTGTCCGTGGCTGGACATTGTTGGAAGGGATCCGTGCCAGTCGTGCCATTTTCCTCCTCTGCGGGAACGATCGCGTCGTCAATCTCCGTCAAGCTCTGTTGACTCTACACGAACGAGGGGCTGTTGACATTGCAGCTCTTCTGGGCAGCACGCAGCATTTAATTCCGCATGCAGATCCCTTGACTAGCAAAAGCGTGGAAGAGGCAGGTTTCCTTCTCAGCCAGCGGCACACTTCGTGGCCCGAGGATGTCATCATTTGCTGGAGCTTGCTCATCAACATGCCGGTGAAAACCAACGCTGCGGACCTTTGGAGACAGCAGGTCCGAGTCAGGAGTGCGTTTCTGCTTTCGAGCGCACTTCGTGTTAGCGGAATCGATGGCTTGGGATGGGCACCCGAATCCCCATATATTCGTCCTGTCCACCGTGTCGTCAATCTACCCGATGGCAGGAAACAGGAATATACGGTATGCTTTCCCTGCTACGATGGTGGCGGCAGTCTGTTCGCGCAGATCACTGATCATGGGCTCCGTGGCCGGTGGCGCGTCATCAAGGTCGATAGCTCGTTCGTGGAGAACGTCCAAGGAATGTGCTGCCACTTGACACACTACGAGGACGAAGAGGTGGCCTTCGACGAGTCCGAGCCAGTCTATGCTTATCCGGACGAAGCCCTTGCCTGTCATACCATGGAGGCGTTACTGAGCAAGGGGGCCGAGGTGAGGCTCGTCCGAGCACTAGATGAAGATGGCGTGTCCCCCTACGTTGGCAGCAGTCAGCGAGGTGAAGACTTCGGCTCAGTTGCAGCTATCTGTGCTAGCTCCGACAACGGATCATTGTGGGAATGGAAAGGAGTCTACGCCTGGCAAGAGAGTGAAAATTATCAGGGCTGGGAAGTCGATGAGATGCTCATTGTTTGAGAGAGGAGCTTGTCTAGCGAGTGAGCCCAAGCAGGGCTTGAGGAGATGTAAGTGAGGCATCTCGATTTCATAAACGCCCAGTGCCGTGGGTGAGGCGGCTACTGATAACGTGTCACGACCCGACAGCCCTTGCTGGCGCCCTTTTTGCCCCCGAAGCTCCAGTCCGGTTCCACGGCCCATATCTCTAACGGATCTCTACGGGGGTCCTTCTGAACAGACTCTGGTCGATCCTTCGAAATGGCCTGTTCCATCTGACGCAAGAACTCTGCATTTTGTCGTGAATAGACAACCTTGGCATCTGCCCTGACTGCAATGTCCTCACACCCGAGACAGGTCTTCCATAATGTCAGTGAATGGCGAGGAGGAAGTCACTATCGAGCCCGCCGCACGTCGTGCCATTACTACAGCCACGTAGCCTCGATCGAAGCGTGCCCTAAGGTGACTCACGCCACAAGATTCCCTCTTTCATTCATGACCTCTCACCATCGGCCACGGTACCGTTCTCACTTTCCCCTTCAGTGGCAAGAATGTTCTCCCGCCTCAATTGATTCCGCTTCCCCAGGATACGTAGAGTCCGCTCCCGCTCGGCTTCAGTCATTTCAGCCCAGTTATGAATACGGGAGAGCGTGCCGTCGGAGTTTATCACCATGGGTCCTAGAGCGTCCAGCTTGACGGTTTGTGATGTCGACGTGGATGCTGAGACATCGCTAGGTGGTGGCAGAGCGAGAGGTGCTGAGTTGGACGGGACACTGTCCTCTTTGGCAGAGTCTTGAGTGGAAGGGTTCTCTAGTTGCTGTGGCTTCGTCGATGCCATGGGTCTTGCGGTAATTAATACTTGGATGTCTGTGAAATGAGCACGGAATCTTCAAGGTGGAATCTGGCAATAATGCGACGTCAAGTTATACACTTTTCTTACTCGTCATCCTTCCAAACGTACATGGTCATCGGGTACCCAGTACTTGTAGTTACCGAAGCATGAAGAGAGCATTCTAGAAAACGGGCTTGACAGGCAGGTCGATGGCGCCAGAAGCTGCTGCGATTTCGGCTCATCGTCGGTTGAGGCTGAAGCGAAGCATCTCGAAATAATTGTTCAGGAACTTTTTCTGGCCGCGTCCATCGATCGACGGTCTCGACACTCGGGCTTCGCCTGCATCATTCTGCACTCGTTCATCTATGCGCAGTATCTGCCATCTCTCGCGAAGATGGCATCAGCAATTCTGCCTATCTCCCAGTTTCGCGGCGCACCAGCAATGCCTGCAACTTCTCCAACCGGTCCGTCAATACCGGCAGCCACCTCGAGCCCGCCTTCAAAGCCGTAGGCCGGCGGTCCCGTCGCTAGGAAACCCCGATGTTCACGAGTACGAGCAACAGGGTGAGGATGCCTCGACCCGACGTCCCGTCCACAACCCTCTCGACCCTGAAGCGGCCGCCCTCAAGGCAGAGCTGGATCAGCTAGACCGCGAATTGGCGGTCATGCGAGAGGGGCCCTTTGGACCAAACAGTGAATTCATCCGGTCTTTCCCTGCCGACGAAAGAGAAGAGCTGCTGAAGGCGCTGGAGGAAGAGGGCGTAATGCCCTCTGAGAGCGCAGACCTGATATCCGAGGAGGATCTGGAGGATCTGGCCAGGGAAGAGGAGGGAAAGAAGCAATCCACACAGGCCAAATCCCCGCTCAAAGTGACCTTGAGCATTCCTGTGCGGGACAAAATCTATGTCAAGCGGTTCAACGCCGCGCTGGAGACGGCTCAACAGAAAGACGACGACAAGGAATATTTCGCGCTCTGGAAATGGTACCTGCGGTGCCAGCAGCACGTCTCGAACTTCGCCCTGATCATCCCCGAGGACGTCTGGCATTTTCTGTGGAAATCTCAGAGCACGAGATTCTACAGACCAAAACACCTCGCGATGCTGGGCAAGGACATGGTCAAGGCCGACGTATCTCTCGAGGACAAGGAGTGGGTGGAATACATCGATGCTCTACAAGCGACTGGGGACATCGCTGCTGCTGCAGAGACATGGGAGGCACAGCGACCGCGGCTAGGCACGAATCCAGAACTCGCGGAATTGTTCTGGGTCGCAGGCATCGGCCTCTATGTGCAGCTCGGCAAACCACAAAAGGCCCAGCGTCTTGCCTTCGAATGCTACGAGCATACCACCATGATCAAACCTGAGCTTTTGGTCATGGTCATCTCGGCGTGGGCAAAGAGCCAACAACCTCAGGCTGACGTCAAAACCTGGTATTGCTACCTCGAGCTCTGCCGGAAGCTCGAGGCTTGCGAAGATGAAAAGACGAGGCTGGACATTCTGGGTCGAGTCAGCAGTGTTCTTCTTGAGGCTGGTCGTCCGCAACTTGCTCTTGCCGTCTTCAAGGACATGTTCCTGCTGACCGCCACGGCACCACAAAACTCCTGGATGATATTCCGAGATTTCGGCAAAGCAGTCACGGATGTCCACCCCTTCAACGAGGACCTTGTGAGTCAGATAGGCCTTTCTGCACTGGCGAGCTTCCCGCAGAGATTCGCGAACAAATATTTCTTTACTGCTTGGATCAAGTGGCTGCTAGGTCAGGGCTTGACAGATGATGCGGCTCTGGTGGTCGAGCTCATGTACGAGCGCGGCATCAAGCCCGACGCCGGTCCGTTGAACGGGCTGATCGCAGCATGGATCCGACAAGGCTCGCCACGAGATCGTCAGAAGGCTGAAGAAACTGCTTGGACAATGATCCAGTCGCGAATTGACATGGTGCAGACTCGGTCGTCGCTGGCAGGCGGCACCGACTCGGCAAACACCGTCATGAAGAGGGAGCCCGGGCATCGTCTGGTCTTTGGCAAGCGCCGCGCACCGGCTGCCACGGTGGAGACGTTCTCGATCCTTTTGCAGCACTATACTCGTCGCTCAGACCTGGCCAACGCCAGCCACCTGACGGATGTCATGACCGGCTCTGCCATGATCAAACCCAACTCGTTCATCATGAATCACTGGCTCTACGCCTCACTCCGATCCGGGCAGATAGCGGATGTGTGGTCAAAATACTCTTCTTTAAAGTCATCCATTGTACCGGACGTTGAGACATTCGCGGCTCTCTGGGATACAGCCAAGACCTCCTACGCGTCCCCTCGCCGGCATCAGGGAGGATTTCCTGACGTGCGAACATTATTCGCCGAGATGCAAGAATGGTTCGAGAAGCTGGAGGCGAAGAAGAGAGTCTCGGCGCAGGAAGATTTCTCGTCCGAGTTGTATGAGCAGATCATCCGCTGTTTCTGCCTCTCGTCGGACCCGCTGGGGACGCTCTGTGCTTTTCACGGGCTCAAGCAATCCTTCAATACTCTGCCTCATGAGGAAGTCAGCAGGTTGATCATCATGCAAGTGGCTCGCGCGTATGCCTCGGACTGGGCGCCACCGTCTGCCGGTGCCCGGGGTCTGCGCATGAAGAAGAACATTCAATATCAAAGCGCAGTCAAGACGTTGACGGAAATCATGGTCGCCATCTCGGACAGGATGATCCAGGAAACGGACGTCGACCCCGAAGCCGTCGCAGAACCGGAGAGCGAGCAGGCCCGGCAACTCAGGCTGAACGTGCTAACAACATTCCTGGGCCTCATCATCGAGAAGAGGATGAAAGGAGTGGCGCCAGAAGACGCACTCCAGAGAATCATGGGAGTCGCGGACGACATGAAGACTACCGTCCCTCTCGATCTGCTACAACAGCGAGGCTGGGGCGACGTCGAGATGTGATTGTGCCAATACTGTATAACAGAGTGTATTTTCAATTCATTCATACATATAGCATGTCCATGTCACGGACACGGACACGGGGTTCTCTCCATCCGCTCATCTGGATCTTGCCGTTGAGAAACATGAAATTCGCCAACTGAATTGTCCTGTCAATGGTTGATGCTAATGCTGATCCGCGTGCACGCTTCTCGTAAAGACCTCACCCTGTAACCATCCAGGGTCAATCCGATCAAAAAGCCGGAGACCCAGACCAGACGGCGTACTAAAATCATACAGGTCCGATTCTTGTGCCTTTCACTTCTTGCCCTTTTTCTTCTTGTTCTTGCCGCCTCCCCCACCTCCACCTGCCCCGGTTGTTCCAGGCGTGGGAAGCTCCGCGGTCGGGGTCTCGACAATAATTCCATCCTCATCGCTACTCCCGGCGGTCCCCTTGAGGTTCGCGGCCGGTGCGGCAGACGCAGGAGCGGGAGCGGGAGTGGGGGGAACAGCAGAAGTAGAAGTAGAAGTAGAAGTAGACGCATCAGCCTCACCCTCACCCTCGGGGCCGCCACCCAACAACTCCTTCCTTGCATTCTCGCGCGTGCGGTCCCACCGCTCCTTCTCGGCCGCCAACCCGGCCTTGATGCCGTCCAACTTGTCCCTCAACATCTGGTTCTGCACCATCTCGTTGGCGCTCTGGAAGATGGTCTGGCCCCAGGTTCCGGCCGTCGCGCTCCCGCTCCCGCTCAGCGCGTTCGCCTCGGCCACCACGTCCTTGATCTCCAGCTCGAGCTCCTGCTCGGCGCGCTGCAGCCGCTGGAAGATCTCGTCGCCCACCACGCCCCGCTGGAGCAGCGCCGCGAGCGCGGGCTTGCGCACCCGCACCTCCATGATGCGTCGGATGTCGTCGCACGCCCGCGCCAGGAGCGCCGCCCGCAGCACACTGTCCGGGACTTTTGTGGGTCTGTCCTTGTCCTTTTCCGCGCTTGTCGGGCTGTCCGACGGCGAGTCCGGGTCCGAGAGGTGCAGGAGTGAGAGGTAGATGTTGCGGGTCGTGTGTTCGGGGAAGTAAGGCGCTAGGCGCAGCTTTTTGTTGACTTGGCGCGACCGGTACAGGTACGAGAAGGTCGCCATGCTGCCTAGGAGGATCGAGACGTACGCCACGGGGACTAGGAGGGAGAGGGTGAGGAGTTGCATCTTGGTGAGCGTACCGCGCGCGTGCGTGTGCACACACAGGGCAACTGAGACAGGGGGAGGGTGGTCGGTGGGCGGAGCGTTTGTTGGGCCGGAGGGGGAAGTGGGTGGTCGTTTCGCTTTAGGTCGTGCTCATTGAAGAGGAGGGAGTTCGCTGGCTGTGGAATTTAGACTTGTACTGTGGGCACGCGCTGGCATGAGCGTGGGTCAATGAGTCCTGTGTCGTGCACGTCTCGAGGGAGGAGGAGGGACGTTCTTCGTCTCTGGGATGCGAGAGCGGAGGGTGTTGAGAGAGGAGTGGGCTTTTTGGGTATCGAGTAACGTCGGCGTGCTGTGAGATGTCGATTTCGCTGGTGGGAATATTGAAGAGGACAAGGTTGCGGGAAAAGGGACAACGTGATCGGACACAGATTAGACTAGATAAGATCAGATAAGATCAAAAAGAGATCTACCGCGCCAAGCATTGAAGACTGCGTTCCGGCATCCTGAATTTTGTACTCAGCGAGCATGAAGACGTTTCAGTGCTCTTGCCGGTAGCAGCTTCTACAACTGGCGTGCTCAGCAGTGGTAGGAGACCATTGCACTGTAACAAGGTGGGAGCAGTGTTGTGGAACAAAAGATTAATTTTGAAGGACTGAACGTCACGACGAACTCCACGACATATAGCTCAGAGATCAACCAGTACTTCAGTAACAGCATATATTTCCGCACTGTGAACATGGTCAAGCTACTCTGGCATACATTATGACTGATGAAAAACGAATCAAACCGCCAAAAAGAACAGCCGACTTGATTAAGCCCAACCTTCGGGCTTTGCAACATCTTTCTTCCAAGAACTCACTGTCTCAGAGGCTTTGGCACGTAGTCCCAAATCTTGACCCCGTCAATCTCGCTGTTGTTCGGCAACTTGTAGAACTCCCGGACGTCGTGCTTGTCAGTGTCCTGAATGTTGTTGATATCCTCGTAGCTCATGACCGAGTGTGGATTCTCGCTTCCGAACTGCTTTGCCGGGGTCCGCTCCGGTCGATTGCCCAAGGTGTCCCCCTTGATGGCAAACTCATGTCGAAGGCCGATGATGTGTCCGATCTCATGCAAGAAGGTGTTCTTGAGAATGGCTCTCCACCGCGGCTCCACAAGAGTCTTATGGTAGACGAGAACATCGTCGACGTCGTTTGGGAAGAAAGCTGAGGCCAGAACGCCTTCGTCAACGGCGGGTTTGAAGTACCTGACCACGAAGTTCGCCTGTGCGCGATTGGATGTTCGAGAAATGTTCACGCCAAAGCCAATGGCGTTCCACTCGTCGGCTGCTTGTTGGAACGCCGTTGCCGCATACTCAAAGTCGGCGTCACTCAGGAACCCTTCTCGAACCGGAAAGTAGAGGAGCTTGGTGGGATTGGACGTGGATGCCGTCCAGCGGGGGATGATGGGTCCTACACCGACGACAATGTGGTCCCGTCCGCTGCCATCGCCGGATTGTTCATCGCTCGGTGGCTCGCCGAATGTCTCCTGAAGACCAGATTGTGTGACGCAGGGGTATTGTTTCTTTCCGTCTGCCGCCATGGCGCCTGTATTTGGGACGGGAGCTAGATCAGCTTCGTTGAGATTGCTTGATGGTTCCGTACCGCACCAGGTCAGAGGTTTGCTGTCTGGGGGGTCGGAAGGCATAGGATTCTTTGAACCCATGGTTGTAAGCTCAAGCTGGCACGCTGTATTTATGTTCGAGAGATCCTGAGATGGCGCCTAGCTCGGTCACGTCGCTCTCAGCTGCAGCTGAACTCTGAGAGATCCAGCTGCAAAGCTTTGGCTGGCTGATCCGTATCGAGGCTTGATTTATGTATTGGGATACGGAGGAGGTCGAGCCCGAGCGATCCAGCTCGATTCTTGGGTTGGCCGAATTATATCGAATCCAGAGACCGTATTTTGTCCGTGGCTGAAGTCGAATCTGCAACGGCTACCTGCTTAGACTGCCCAGCTTCATCATCTGCAGTCGGATGGCTGGGCCACGCTAAAGCCAAGACTGAGCTGAAAGATTTGTGTCACCTGAACCACGGACAGCAAACGAACGCCCAAGGTGAAGTCCGCTGCAGCAAAGTGAGATTCTCAACTCGGATGTACTCAGCAGGATTTACACAGGTGGTAGGCTGCTGTAGCGAGAAGGAAGCGGGGGTTTCGTCGAGGTTAGGTGATCTGCCACAGCACACATGAGAGCTGAATCGAATTCTCACAAATCAGGAACACGGTTCGAATCCATTATCTAACTTAGTGGCATAGAGAGAGGGGGGAATGGCACTGTGCGAATGTTGGTTCTCCGGCCCTTCTCAGACGTGGGAGAGTATGCTTCGTAAAGCGGTGGGCGTCAATGGCACTCAACTTTCTTGAAATGGGGTCTTGCTAATATGCAAATCTTGACGCCAAACATCCCGATCTGGCGAATCTGACCATTGAGTCGCGTGCGGTGATATTGATCCGCCATGTCGGCCAGCAGTGAACGCATTGAAAGTTTTGACTCGAGAGGAGAGGGTAGGGAGTGAGTAGACGCCAGGTGGGACAGCGCTTCGTCGAGGATGGTCACGTGAAAGATCACGTGTAATACCACGTGAGTTAGCCTTGGCGGGTCAGTTGCCTCGTCTTCTTGTTTCAACACAGATCTTTGTGAGTGATACATATGCAATTGACCCAGTTTGGTTCTACAACGCAAAGCATATCCCTTCCGCTAATGCCCAGCTAGTGTTATTGGCTAATTTGAACGACTTAATTCTGCCCTGGTGGGCATGACTGGCTGTACGAAGGCCTGAGCGGAGATCGGAGGATCTTGTCCGCGGGTGCGAGCCCTCCGCCACTCCGAGAGCTCCCGAGATTTGAGTGACAGTCTTGGGGTAGTTAATACCTCGTATATTGTATGTGTCTCAAACAAGCTCCTGTGGAATCCGGGCGGAGCCTTGTCCAGGCAAGACTCTGATGGCGGGTGGCCTCAGGCAGCCTAGCTTGGCGACGCTCAACTATAAAGCACACGCCGGCGCAAATGCATGCTCAGACTCATACTTGTACAGATACTCAATATGTCGCGCACAGTATTGATAACAGGATGCTCTGATGGCGGCTTGGGCGCCGCTCTCGCCGTCGCCTTCTACAAGCACGGCGATCGTGTGTTCGCGACAGCGCGGAATCCCGATAGGATGGCATCGCTGAAACAGATGAACATCGAGACCCTCCAGCTCGATGTCACGTCCGAAGACTCCATCAAAGCAGCAGTCGAGGCAATCTCCGGGAAAACACACGACTCGCTCGACATCTTGGTCAACAACGCCGGGACAGGCTACAGCACTCCGCTCCTCGATGCATCTATTCCTGACGTTGCCAAGCTTCTTGAACTGAACACGCTGTCTGTCCTGCGCGTGACGCAGTTCTTCTTTCCTTTGCTCCGGAATGCGCAGGACGGGGCCCTCCTGGTCAACAACACCTCCTGCGCGAGCGCCATGGCTGTTCCCCTTCAAGGGCCATACAGTATGTCCAAGGCCGCCACGGCGTCCATGTCCGATGTCCTACGCCAGGAACTTTGGCCCTTTAATATCAAAGTCGTGGATCTCAAGACGGGCACCGTCCAGTCGAATTTCTTTGCGAACACGACCTCCTCGGGCTCCTCTCAGGGCGGCGAAATCCACTTACCGGAACGCTCGCTGTACGTTCCTGGGAAGGAACAGGTAGAGAAGTTCATGCGCACTGATATCGACGTCACGGCCATACCAGCTGATCAGTGGGCCAAAGCGGTCGTGAGGGATCTGTCGAGGAAGAACCCGCCGCTTCATGTCTGGCGTGGGGGAAATGCCTTTCAGGTATGGCTTGCCACGTTGCTGCCTGTCGGAATGACGGATAGCATGATGAGGAAGATGACTGGCCTGGATCTGGTGGAGAAGTATTATCGCGGGTTGAGGGACCGAGAGCAGAAGACAAAGTAGTCACAGTGAGAGAGAGAGCGACAGCCAGGCAATCCCGGGTCTCTCCACCTGCCCCAGCTTCCTCCTCATACATCCGGCCTGCAGGTTAACGTGGAGTTAGCACATTCCAGCAATGCTATGCAGGCTTCGAAGAGCCGAGAACCGACACCACAATACGAAACGACGAGATATAACAGAAGGCCTGGCTGACGTGCCTTGCGTGCACTATACGTTGAGTGGCGTTTCATCGCGATTTTCTCCCACAGGGTGAAGAGGATCTTGAAGCTGGGCTTCAACCGTCCCATGCGTGCTGTGTCCTGTCTGGTGCGTTTTGCTCCAGTCTCAGCTATTCTACACAGACAACCACTGCACTCTACCACACTTTTGCGGCCGGCGCAGAGGTTCGTCTGCAATCTATCGCGTCATGAACATTCTGAACCTCGTCGCTCGCAGAAGTTTCGACCAGAAACGGAATGTCAGCACTCTTCTGTTGAAAGAAGTTTTCCGACCTCGCCCAGAACAGTGTCAATGTCCCTCCGCGTACTGAGGAATGCCATCGCCCAGCGATTCAGATTCTCAAGCATGGACCGCCAAGCCGGCGAGTCACAGTTCCTGGGGTCCCCATCGTTGGACGGTCGCTGATCTGTCTCGTCGTCCAACCAATCCAGGTTCGCCGCACCCAAGTCTCGATTCACCCGAAGGGCCCAGTCGTCCGAACAGGGTCTCCACAGCTCCAACGCTTTGTCCAACACCAATACCTTGGCATAATGTTGTACGGCTTCTAAACGGCCGCAAAGATCCAGGTCCATGGACAAAATGTTCATGAGAAAACGACCACGGCTGATATAGTCCATTTCCTGCAAAGGGTCGATGGCCGAGCGTACCAACACGGTTAGCCACCACAAGAGAGGATTCTTCGAAGCAGTCGGTGCATGGTCCGTGATCATGTTGACGCAAAGTACTCGCACAGCAGCATCGAGCTCGCTCTGGATACCGGTAGCAATTGCTCGCAAGATGTCGGTCACTTCATGCTCCGTATGTTTAGCCAAAAGCAGACCCATGTCCTCCGGCATACCCGAGTTGGTATGAGCAAACACCAGGAAACAGATCAGTGATGCCCAGACAGCTTGGTAACGCCGCCGTTTGCCCAAATCTGCCATGGCACGCAACGCCCGGAACGGTTGGGTTGCTGCTGGGCGCGCCGCACGATTGAGAACGAGTCGTGCCTGGCGCGGCCAACGTTCGGCTAGTCGCTCCTCGCGGTCGAATGTATCAAAGATGGCGACCTGGATGGAGGCTCGGATACGGCGATCGTGATCAAAGCGCTCGATATCATGCCCCCCTTCTGGTGATTGCTGGTTGTCAATGTGGGTGGCCTTTGGGGCAGGGGCGAGGGTCGCGTCTGGCCGCGTGCTCGTCGCGGATAAGAAGTTTATCCAGTTCCTCTTGACAGCAATCCATTGCTCGTCAGTCGGACCTCCTACACCATGGAGCCAGGAGCGATAGACTTGCGTCCGATTGCCATTTGCTAGCATCGGGACATCCCAGCGTTCGTCGAACCTTGTAAATTGTGTTTGGGCCGTAACGCCAGTCACACTCAACAACGCGATATCGTAAGCGAGCGCCATCGTATAGAGCACTTCCTACCTCATTTTGCGTCGTAATGCGCCTTGGTCGGGGACTGTTCAGCTTCCCGCACATTTTGTAGTACTTGAAGAAGCCAAGCTCGAATTAGGCATCCAGCAAATGTGCTTCCACTCTTCCGTCCTACGTACTTGGTCCCCCGAGGCGGCCGCACGTGATGGTAGAGTAAATCACGTGATTCAGCCTTGTCTCGCGCAACCTGCCCTGCCTGGCGTGCGGAGACGAAGTCGTCGAAAAAGTTTCGGCTGCGGCGACTTTGAGAGTCGAGAAAGTGCCTTGCTCGCACGACAAGGCGGAAATGGCGCCGTCGCAGCTCAAGCAATTGAAAGCGTCGCTGCGAGAGAACGGCGTCCTCGGCCCTCAAAAATCCAAGAAACAACGAAAATCGGCCGGCAAAGATGCGCAGAAACGGGCGCAGCGCAATGCCGCCCTCGACGACATTCGAGAGCGATTCAATCCTTTCGAGGTCAAGGCGCCTGCGCGGAAAGCGAAGTACGACTTCGTTAATGGCAAGAATGTGAAACCGGCCGTTGGCCGACCGGGCGTTACCCGAGGACTGGGAGAGGAACGACGGAGAGAGACACTGTTGAAAGAGATGCAGAGGCGGAATAAGGTCGGCGGGATGCTTGACCGACGGTTCGGAGAAGACGATCCGACCATGACGCCGGAGCAAAGGGCAGCTGAGCGGTTTGCGCGGCAGAACGAGCGCAAGATGAAGAAGACTTCCATGTTCAATCTCGAGGACGACAGCGAGGAGGAGATGACACTCACACATGGTGGAAGATCGCTCGATTTCGGCAGTGGCGTGAAGGATGATTTCGACGAGGATGACGTGGACGATGAAGAGGATGCAGACACAGACGGCGAGTTCGATCCGCAGGACGACCGGCCGCGTAAACGGGCACGGGTCGAGGGTGAAGATGAACCTGACGAAGAAGCGGACGAAGAGGCACCACAGCGGAAGAAGACAAAAGATGAAGTCATGAAGGAGATCATCGCCAAATCCAAAATGTACAAAGCCGAGAGACAGGCTGCGAAAGAGGACGATGACGATCTCCGTGCTGAACTCGACAAGGGCATGTCTGACTTTTATGCAGCCTTGCAAGGCCAGAAGGTACCGGAACAGCGACCTGCGCCCGTGTCACCAGCTGCAGTGGCCGAGCCGCACATGGATCCCTCACGGGCCGCTATGTTGGCGGGCAAAACCAGGGAGGACGCGGAGAAGGACTACGAAGCAAACCTGCGGCAGCTAAAGCTGGAGGCTCGATCCAAACCCAGCGTACGGACCAAAACCGAAGAAGAAAAGGCCGCCGAAGAGGCCGCACGCCTCGAAGAGCTGGAACGAAAGAGAGTCCGGCGAATGAAGGGCGAGGCGGAGAGTTCGGAAGACGAGGAGGAGAGCGACCAAGCCGTCGAGCCCGGACCGGATGAGGACATTGATATCGACGATGCGGAAGCCTTTGGATTAGCCGCTCCAGAAGCCACATCTGCTCCAAGAAGAGAACTTGATGTGGAAGACGAAGATGAGTTTGTCCTTGACGACGACTTGATTGCTTCTGGATCGGACGCTGATCTGGCAAGCGAGCAAGCCGACGAAGAGTCTGACTCTGAATCCGAGGATGAGCCCGAGGACGACGGTGACGACGACTTCATCAACGGCCTGGCCTTGCCGCAAGAAACAGAAGCAGAAAGACGTACAGCTTCGAAGACGACAAAGTCGGCTCCGACAAGCCCCAACCTCGCCTACACTTTTCCTTGCCCTCAGACTCACGAGCAATTCCTCGAACTTACCAAGGAAACCAAGACGACGGACCTGCCAACGATTGTTCAGAGGATCCGCGCCCTCTACCACAAAGGCCTTGCCGCAGGAAATCAGGACAAGCTCGATACATTCGCGGTCGTGTTGACGCAGCATGTCGCCCACTTGGCCGACAACGACGGGACAGTCCCCTTTTCGGTTCTAGAAAGCTTGATCCGGCATCTACATTCAATGGCCAAATCCTCACCCGAACCAGTGAGTGCTGCCTTCCGGGAGCATCTCCAGGTGATATCTGCCGAACGACCGCTTCGACTCTCCGCAGGCGACCTCGTCGTGTTGACTGGGGTGTCGACGATCTTCCCAACGTCAGATCACTTCCACTCGGTGGTGACGCCGGCGATGCTGACCCTGGCGCGATACCTTGGCCAAAGCGCCGTCCAGTCGCGGCAAGATCTCGGCGTTGGTGCCTACTGCTGTACGCTCGCCCTGCGATATCAGCGGCTGGCAAAGCGGTACGTGCCCGAAGTGGTCACATACATAACCAACGCGCTCGGCATCCTCTCACCCACACCACTGCCTCAGCAAGACAAGGACGGCAAACCACTTAACGTCCCCATCAGGCTGCCTTTGGGATCTGCGTCTCTGCGCATCCAAACCACATCAGCAGCGGGAGGTGTTGTCGCCACACCGGAGAAACTCTCTTTCAAAGCTCTCATCATGAGTCATGGTAACGACGACGAAGACGACGACGCCCAGTCCCTGATTCTTCTCAACACATTCATCAGGCTGGCAACACAGGCCGCACAGCTATGGTCCCAGAAGTCTGCCCTCCCAGAACTCATGCATCCGCTCATCCACGCATTGACGCACCTTTCGTCACGCAGCAACGGCAGCTCGCTTCCCTCACAGACCCTCTCTCTCGCCTCAGCCGCGCTCTCCACCCTCTCCGGCATGCGTGACGCATTCATCCAGACCCGCCGGCCTCTCCTCCTGCATGCCCACCGGCCTCTCGCCATCAAGACCTCGATCCCGCAGTACATTGAGAATTACAACCCAGACAGGCACTACGATCCGGATCGCCAGCGCGCGACGCTCGCGAAACTGAAGGCCGAGCACAAGAAGGAACGGAAGGGCGCGATGCGCGAACTCAGGAAGGACGCGAGTTTCATGGCGCGCGAGCAGTTGAGGGAGAAGAAGGAACGGGATACCGCCTACGAGAGGAAGTATAAGCGGTTGGTGGCGGAGATTCAGGGCGAAGAGGGGCGAGAACAAAGGGGGTATGAGAGGGAAAGGGAGAGGGCGAGGAGAAAGAGCAAAACCAAGGGCTAGCCAGTTCGAGACTTTAATACATCTATTTCCACGTGCGTGTGCGTGTGTACATGTGCGTGTGCGTGTGTACATGTGCGTGTGCGTGTGTACATGTGCGTGTGCGTGTGTACATGTG